CTGATTATTATCTATCTCATAAAAGAATAGTCAGTAATAGTTTACTCGATTGATTTCTAAAGGCTAATACAAGAAATAATATTAATGCGCATACGCTTTCTAAAAAAGATTAACACAATAAATAAAATTGTTAAGGTAAATTATAAAAATTTTTATTCCAGCTTGTAAATTCTGTAATTTAATCTACCATTAAACTTTATTCAGAAGTTTACTAAATGCAATATTGTATTAATTGTGAAGTTTTTTTCAATCGACTATTTGGTATCGAATTACTATTACTAACAAATTAAAAACAACATTATAAAGAAGTAATGTATCCTGATGCAAAAAGAAAAACCTTCACTATCTAACATCATTTGAGTGATCGGTGATTTTAATTCCCATTTCTTCTTCAAATTGCACATGTTACCTTCTATTTGCGTAAGAGAGGTAATTAGTTGTAGTTATAGATTTTCTTTTATGTAATTACGTAATTACGATAGACGAAAATAGCATGTAAATTGATTTAGCTAAATAAAATAAAGATTTTATTGAAATAATTAAAGAGAAATAAATTTTATTAAATATATGAAAATAAATATAATTAATGCACCATTACTGCCTCTGCTGGCACTGTAATAACTATCTAACCATCAAAATCGACTAAAAAAAATAAATAAATAAGGATTAGCGTTAAAAAAAAAAATAAACTATGTATGAAATTTCTTGATATTATGTAATATTTAGTTTGACATGCTTCATATAACATAAAAAAAATTGATAAGAATTAAATGAAAAATTATGAATTATAAGTGTTATTGTGCTTTGCGTTGAAAATAACTGATTGACATTACAATTTTGATTATTTGTCAACGCAAAGCACAATAACGATTTTATCGTGTGATTTTATGATGACTTAAATTATATATTATCGTCATAAGGAAAGTTTATTTATACAACAATTTTTTTTTAATTTACCGTTCTCTTTTACCAGATATTTATTATTTAATTTACCATTCTTTCCTTTTAGTTTGTACCAGTTATTTTTTTTTTTTTAAAAAAAAAACTTTTAAGAAACCGCGAAAGATGGTAAATGTATTTATTTGCTTTAATAAGCTTAGTAATGACAACTTCTATTTTTAGGCGATTTTTACTTATGAAAACCTGCAAAATAGGACCTTAACAAGCTTATTAATAATAGTCGTAGTAAAAATACTGATTATTCAACATTCAACATACGTTTGAGCATTAGAAAAATTTCGATCTAATGTAAAATATCAAGGTCTAATTTAATAAATAACTACAAAAGAAGAGTTAGAAGAGCAATTGTGTTAATTAATTTATTCAATAAAAAAGCAAGATGGAATTGAGTATTATGCTTCTTCAGTCAGTAAAAAATTGTCTTTTTGCAATAAATCGACATTTGAATAAAACTCAGAATTTAAAAAAAATATAGAAACTTTGCTGTAGCTGGTATGGTATAGATTTTTATTTGCAAAAAAAGTAATAGTTTTATAGTTCTGGTCAAACTTAAAGAACTAGCCTGACTAAACATTAACAGGTTAATAAAATTTCTAACCTCCAAAACCACACACAATCACAAAATGCATACACAAATATTTTATTTTTATTTGCATAACGATAATCTTTGGAATTTACTAATTTGAATAATATTGATTTCGAATAATTTCTGCGGCTGAGATTACTGCTAAAGAAATAACATTAATTCGAAATTACAAAAGATTTCTGCTATAAGTTGTTGATTGAGATTATTAAATGTATATGCTGAAAACAAAATTTATTTAATCATCGACATCAACCTAATAGAAACGTTTTCACAACAAGTATATCAAGTTTGATTCTTTAAATTTTCAAAAAATACGATTTGTGGTGTAAAAAATATTTTTATTATTTTCTAAATATGCTAAATATTTTTAACAATCCTACCTAGTACATAAGAGAAATGCAGTTATCCAGTTCGTAAGCAACGACCGGTTAAAATATAATTAGTGACTCACGAAGAAAAAGTTTAGGTTGAGGTAATTCTGCGCCGCTCGTTTTATTATAGAATGAAAATAAATATACACATATATATATATACTGTATTTAGTAATGTTTAGCATTTTCTAATTTTAATTGAAAATCCATTAATTTATACTTGTTTCAAATTGATATTAGTATTTCTAAAAAATAATTTAGTACTTAAACTCAATAAAAAAGGCGAAACTGACAAATATAATTTTTCAAAGGTTTCCTCCAAAAATCCCGTCAATCATAATCCTGACGGTCTAGTATCCCGACAGCAATATCACAACAAACCAAAAATCTGACACACACAAAAATCTTTACACGAGCATAATCCCGAACCTAATAAACAATAAACCCGAATAGTCCAAAATCCAGATAACCAAGATCTCGACATATATTAGGGCTATGGAATTAGTGTATGGAATTAAGGTATAGGATTAGGATTAGGTTTATGCATATTAGGTTTTCAGGGTTGGCGGAATTCTGGTAATGTCGGAAATAAGAACTTTCAGGTATTCGTTAGTGTCTGGATTTTTGATTATCGGGATTATGCTGTCAGTCAGGATTATTACTGTCAGAATAATATGTTGGCAGACGAAGCAAGTTTTCTTTATTGTTAATTGTTCTGAATGTTAGTGCTGTGATGCAGTATTCAATACCTTCCTCCCAGATTAAATTTATTTAATCAACATTGATTTTTACTGTACCTCTTATTTTTGTGGATATTTTGCATCAAAATATTAATTGTACGTGCAGTATGAAATTATTATACTGTACATCTTTCATGAGTAATATACAGACCTAAAATATAAACTGAAACGAAAAGCTGAATATATTAAAAGATCAGAATATTATTAAAAATTTTGATGGATAAAAATGTGAATTTCATGAATTGGCAAAACCCTCTAAAGAAAATCATCAGATTTGTCAAGATTTATTAATTTATGAATGGGAAATCTCTTCCATAGAAAATTCACAGATTTTTTATGTCGATAATTATGAACGTAATTAATGTAGAAATCCTTCCATTTTGATATAAAATATAATGAATATCATTTATGGCGGCGAAAAACATCGATGACAAATCCACATATTTGTCAATTTGAAATATAAGCAATGTAAAATGGGGAGTACCTTCCAACTAAAGTCACAGATTTATCAAGTATTTATTTCGATATGTAGAAAAATGTAATTGCTGTCAGTAATGAATGAGTACCTTTATTCTTTCTACACGTGAATGAGTTTATAAAATGTATTATTTTTGTTACATTATCAAGAATTATAATCAATTTGATAAGTATATATTATAGTATTCTGCAAATAGCGTAGCGAGATGCAAACTATTCTATTAATCTAACCTTTCTTATTTCCTCGTAGTTGTTTAGCGATTTCCAACTCTTCCTTTGCAATACGTCTAAGTTCCACATCAGATATCAGCTCACCAGTGTCTTCAACAATGAGACATCTCTTTTGTGGATGATACAGAAAATTCGCAAGGCCTTCCATTTTATTAATTCCATGAATATACATTTCATGTGTCATTTCACACCATGCAAATACGATGCCACGATCATCTAAAAATAAAACAACCATTCCATGACAACCTACAAGCAGTGGGTGGATATTGTTGATACCATATGTTTTACTAAAATATTCCTTATTTTCTTGATCAATTAACCATTTGTTTGTAGGTTCATGGAATTCATAAAACTTGTGAACTTTCTTTATTTCATCAACCAATTCTGACAAGCTTGACAATTTTGGCATTGCTCCATTATTTCTCCCGTTTTTAATGATATCGTTCGAGACTTGATAGGAAGATCCGTTATCCACTGGCATAAGTAAGTCCAAGCATTCATCTCCGCGCAATTCCCGAACTCCCAATATTTTACTAAACTTGGAATCACAAATCCATTCTGGTCCCGAGGAAGACGGAGTACAATCGATTGACTCTTCTGATTTACATTGCGAGCTGTAATTGATGCACCAAATGCAACGTGGATTATTTTTTCCTGTTTTGACTTCCAGGAGACATTGATTGCTGCCGGACGTCTCCAACGATTTGGCTCCATTATAGTTATCTATTAATAAATTTGGTTGAGATGCCATGAAAAAAACTTCTCCTGACTTAGATATGAAAAATTTTTTTTCTTTTTCTTTTTGAGATTTTTCTTTGAGAGGAAAAAGTTTCTCTTCTTCTTCCTCGTATTTTTCTTCGGAAGGGGAAAGTTGATCGTGTAAAGGTAACATAGCGCATCCCATAGGGTAGTGATGGTGATTAATATTCCCACTGATGGAATAATCATTGGTTGTGGACCATTTGCGCTGTTGAAAATTCGATTGTTTCTTCTGAATTGCATTATAGGGCAAATATCAACATCATTTTACACATCAACAAGACCAAACGTTTCAGACATACCTGTATGGCAGAAAATACTGTTTGTAAACTTTCTTTCCCTTTTTGCTCTTCGTCGCCATTTTCTCGATGCATTCCAAGATCTAGGATGTAAAGTAATAAATAAATAAATATGTACAGTATATATATATTCGTTATACACAGCTAAAAAGTACCTCGTTTAACGTCCATTTCTTCCTTAGTTGAAGATAAAACATAAAGATCAAAAGTTTCGAAAGTAGAGTCAGAGTTGTATTTATCCATTGTTACGCGTTTCTGTGATAAATATCAGTAAAATAATAAATTACGTAATTTCAGTATATTATAAATGACATAAAGTCATTAGTAAAAGTATAAATGTCGTATAAAGATCCGTAAATGATAATGACGTTTCATATCAGTAAATAGTAGGAAAATATGATGACAGAGCTGATTGATTATAACTGATATAACGCCTGTGCATTTGCAAGTGCTTTACTAAGGAAATGCTGATTTTTTCTGATTTTACATGTTTCATATGAACATACCTAAAAACTATAATCTAGTAGTGAAGAAAGTTGGGTTTGTTATTATTTACGAGACTTAAGATCTCATCGATATGTTATCAAATGATTATTTTACTGATATCATGATATCAGAAAGGCCTACATTGTATGAAAATTATTATAGATGGAATGTTCCGGACGAGTCTACTCAATTTTACCGAAGATTTAGAAGGAATCTTACTAATTTGTAAAATATATCATTCAAAATTTTTATTTATTGGATGGGGGAGTAGCTATATCAGTCACAGGACCGAATGATTGGATGAAAATGGGTCACTAGTGGCCCATATTCACCAATCAATGAAGGGCCCTGTGGCCGATATAGCCACACACATCCAATAAAAGTATTATCGTTCTGACGTTTTTGATCCGGTATTGTAAAAATTAAGCTATAAATTTATTTTTGCTAAACTTTTATCATCTAATTTTTCTTCCTCTAATAAATTTTTTAAATAATTATTTTAAAAATGCCATATAAAAAGTCCAAAGAAAATTCCATAGAACAAAGAAATGTAACAAAAGATGTTGTTTTTATAGAGAATTAAATCAAGTAAAAAATACTCCTTATTCTACTAATAATTGGGTGAAAGCTCTAGAAAATTTTCGCAAAAGTCAAGGATATGATGGAAAAATAGAAGAAATTAATGATATTGATGAATTAGATCAGCAACTGGCAAATACGTTGCATCAATGAAACAAAAAAATGGAGAAGAGTATGCAACAAGTTCTGTAAAATCGGCAATTGCAGCATTATATCGACATTTGAATAAAAATTCCATTATTAAACATGTCAATATCTATGATACTAATATTTTTACTATTCTATCTGAGACTGCAAGTGGAAAAATCAAATATTTAAGTGATCTTAGATACAGAGAAACTAAAAGTTCTGATGGATTAAGCATTACAGAAATATAACAAGTATTATCACATAAATTTGTAGATGGATCAACATCTGAAAGGTTGTTAAGAAGGGTATTTTTTCATAATGCAATAATTCTTGGGTTAAGAAGAGGTGAGCATTAATTAATTAAGGCAAAGAATTTTAAAAAATGAAAGGATAGAGGTTTTGATGTATATATTTATTATTATAACAGTGTAAAATTTTGACTAAAATCTGATTACAAATCCAATGTCAATTAAATATTCTTGTTTATCATCTCATCAATCCTGATGTTAACTTTATATCCTAAGATAATCAATGTGAAATATTGTAGATTCAGATGTCAATTTTATTTCCAGAGTAATAGGCAACTTTATTAATATGATCATCTTTGCTGATCAATTTTGTCAACTTTATTTCCTTAACAATATCATTTATTTTTCATAGATATATTTAGTTTAGTTCATTTTATAATTATCAAACATGTATAATTATCACTGTATTTTTATTAATCTCGATATCTTACGAGGTAGAGAACTTACAATTTATTACTTTATTAATAAAACGTATAATTAACCAAGTTAAAACTTATTCTTCGCAACCTTTAACCTGTGTATATATTATTATTATTTATTAATTTTGCATGGTATTGTATTGATTCGTTATATTGACTTAAGGTGTAGTCATTGAAACGTAATCTCTGAAATATCTAAAAGTTACTCATGTGTAATTGAGAATAATCTTTGATGTTTACTATGAATCTTCATTGTGATTTCATAAGTTTAGTCTTAGCATTATTAATTTTTGTGAATTTTATTTGAATTACAAATTAGACGTAAACATCATTCTAAAACAAATCAACAAGAGCTATTAAATGATTGTGGAAAAGCAGAAATATTAACTATATCAAATCAGGTAGAGATAATTAATGATTATAAATCATATTTTGCAAAATACCTATTTCAGCTGATGAACAATTTTATTCATAAGAACATGAAGAAGAAAAAGGTAATTTACCTTTATTTTGTTTTTTCTAACATTAAATTAAATTAACTTAATTTTATTTATTATAGCATTGCAGACTGAAATTTGGTTTAAACGTTCTTATTTAGGTGAAGCACGTTGAAGGCGTTGTTAGCTTAAACGGTTCGTCGTTAAGTTAACTAAGATTATTTGCTAACAGGGAGTTTAAGTTCATCTAAACTATGGAAGAAATAAACACGAATTAATTATGTTGAAGGGTCAGGTCGTCTTTATCGATATAGATTTAAAGA